ATATTTATTCACCCAAACCATATTTGGTATCAATGTTATACCTAACAGACTGCCTGTAGTCCCACTGCCCATTTCCTCCAGTATGGCCTCCCAGTCCTTCCCAGTCCAAGGCAAAGGCCTGGGCCTCCTTCTTCCTGCTCCTCCCCACAATCCCAGGGGCTTCTCAGAGCTTTTGGGGAGAGGGATCCCAGATCCACTTCCTGCTCTGGGGAGATTTCAGAATCCAAAAGGGATCACAGAATTTCTCTAACAGAAGGAGGGGGGGTCGGACTCTCCGTGATCCAGAACCGGCTTCTTCCCCTTGTCGGGCTGAGCAGTGAGGAGGAAGTCTGAAGTCTGCCTGAGAGGAGAAATGTGTGAATGTAATTCAGGTTGGGCCTCCTCAGTCATGAATCCTCCGCAAGTCCGAAATGACATGTGTGACTATAACACAGGTTTGCATAGGTTTGGCATCCTCACAATCATGAATGTGCCTCCACTCAGGAATGGCTGGTGAGTTTGGGCCTGTCTGTGTCCAACCAAGCGGTTCATTTCATGGTCACCATCCAGAGGTTCTTCTCTCTTTTTACCTCCAAGTCCGTTTATTTAATTGTTCAGTTCATGCCAATTTTTTAATGTCTTTGTTTTTTAAAGTTATTATATTGATATCTTCTCAAAGTAAACAACTAGGAACACCCCAAGTTCCTGATTACTAATAATTATATATTTTAAATATTTTTTATTTTTGCAAACTGCCCCATGTCGGGAGCTTCTGAAATGGAAGAAGGAACCTCGTGGGAGGCAAATCTCTGCCTCTCCCAGAATAAATCTCTGGGGGTATTTTGGGTTTTTGGATCACCGGGTGATGGTGGGGATCAGGAGAAAGTGACAATCAGGAAGGAGGAATATTTAGGAAGATTATTAAGAAGGGCTTGTCTCCAGACTCTCATCCTGCTGCATTCACAGGACAACCTTGGCCCCATCGCTCCACTGCACCAGCATCTGCCAAGACACGGATCCGATTGGAGAAACCAGCCGGGTCCTCCCAGCGCCAGAAGCCCCAAAGAGCCCCAAAGCCCCCCCAAAGGCAGGAAAGGCGACCCAGGCGGAGGGGGGTTGGGCGAAGGCAGCCAGGAAGTTCGGGAACTGCCCTGATCCCCTGCAAACGCTCCTTTCCGACAATCGCCACTTCGGGGGAGGGAAAGAACTGCGCTTGGGGGCGCCCAGGTAGACTTGACGGACACCTGGAGGGGCCACCCTTGTCCTGTTCCCCGGGGGGCTCTCCTGGAGGCGGGCGGGAGGAGAGGCAGCAGAGTCCCATCCAGGCTTTGGGACCTAATCTCAAAGTGGGCAGAGGCGGGGAGGGGAGCGGACTAGAAAGAGGACCGAATCAGGGACTCTATTTGTGGGAATAAACTTTTGGGGGGCGGAGAGAGAAAGAGTCCCTGGAAGGAAAAAGGGGGCCGGATCTCCCGAAGGCCCCAAAGGGACTCACCAACGCAACTCTGCCGTAGGGCGACCGCCAGCAGCACCAGGAGCCAGAGGGGCGCAGAGCGCAGAGCCATCCTGGCCGCGACCCTCAAGCAGCCCCCGGATCTCCTGGACAGTCGCAGGCAGAATAAGACGCGCCCCGCGTGAGCCACAGCGCAACAACCCAGAGAAAGGCCGCGATTGGCCAGGCTCAACCAGTAGAAAAAAAGTATCCCCATGTCGTCATTGTTGCTAGGCGGACTTCCAGGCGCAACCGGAGAGAGACGAGGGAACGGAAAGTGAAAGTTCAATCGGGAAATCCCCTTCCAGGGATTCCGCCTCTTGGGGGGAGGGGCGGAACTGAGGGGGCTGGGAAAAGAGGGGGGGTTCTCTGGGCCTGGGGGAGGGTCGAGGGGGAGGGGAGCCCCTCGCAGTGGGGGGGGGGTGTCAGGTAGAGCTGCCCCCAAAACAACGCAGTCTTGGGATCAACAGAGGGAGAGCAGCATCAAGAGAACCGGAGAAATGAGACTTCCGGTTCATGGTGCCCAAGTGAGCCCCCCCCCCGGAGTGCGGGACCCACTTCCGGTCTCCAGGATACCAGAGAGACGCTGAGAGCCTGGAAAGAGCGCAGGGAGGAACAAGAGAGATGATGGAGGGAGGTTGAAGGGAAGGAGGAACCATCGAGAGAGCCAGGGAGGCCCAGCCTGTGGAAGAGAGGAATGGAGGCTGGGTGTTTATGGCCTGTTAACTGTCTTCCAGCCCTTGAGGGGCTTTCCCAGAGAAGAAGGGATGGACCTCTTCTCCAAAGCCCCAGAGGGCAGGGCATGAAGGAAGCCATGGGTGGAAGCTTCCTAAAGAGAGATCCAACCCAGAAGTCAGGAGAAGTTTTCTAACTGTGAGAACAATTAATCAGTGGAACAATTTACATCCTCCGAATTGTGGCTGCTCCCTCACTGGAAGTTTCCAAAAATAGACTGGGGAACTGTGAGGCTGGGATGGTTTTAGGTCTCCTCCTGCCTGGATCTGAGGGGTGGACTAGGAGACCTCTGAGGTCCTTTCCAGTCCTATGATTCTGTGTTTTACCTCAGACTCCCCAAAGGATCTTCGCTCTGGATAAAAATGCTCAAAGGCTTCTTTTGTGGCCTCTTCAAGGCGAAGATATTTCTTTCTTTCTAGGGAAAAATGCCACAGGGGTCAAATACACAGAATATAATTTCCCTGCTTCCTTTCCTTCTCTGGTGAAGCCATGAATCTTTAGGAAGCTTCAAACTCTTCCCCTTTCCCACCATAAACTAAGATGGCTGCTCCCTCCTTTGCCGGTTCTTCTGGAGACTCCTTGGACTAAAATAGTAAATCCTTCTTCCGATTACAGTTGTTATTATGATTCCCGAATTCGGCTGATTTTCTTTTGTGGCCTCTTCAAGGCATGTCTTTGTAGAAGAGGAGGGGATAGCTTGATTGCTCAAGAATATCAAATATAGAATGTAACAGAATATAAATCTTTCAAATTGGGAGAGTCTCAGCAAGACTGGAAACAGGATGAGCTGGAGAATGGCGCCCCCTGCTGGTTTGCAGTTTCTCTCAATTAGCAAAG